CTAAAAGGGACTCAAGCATAAAGGACGTGCTCCAATGAAGTTATATCAAGTTGGTGCACCAATGGAAAGAGTAGCTGTTGACATTGCTGGTCCTTTGCCCCAAACTCGTGCTGGAAACAAGTACATTTGTGTGGTGATGGATTATTTCACCAAGTGGCCTGAGGCATATGCAATACGAAATTAGGAAGCTACAACTGTAGCTTCGGCTTTTTGTGATTTCTTCTTCAGATTTGGTATGTCATACGAACTACATTCAGATCAAGGCCGTAACTTCGAATCAGCTGTGTTCCAAGAATGCTGCAAGTTGTTTGGCATACGAAAGACCATGACAACGCCACTTCACCCACAGTCTGATGGGATGGTAGAAAAGTACAATTGGACACTGGGACAGGAATTGGCAAAGTTTGTAATAGTCGCCAAGATGACTGGAATGTCTTACTCTCTCCACTGTTGATGGCCTACAGGACAGCAGAGCATGAAGCCACTGGATACACTCCAGTAAAGTTGATGTTTGGTCGGGAACTTCGGTTGCCAGTGGATCTGTTAACAAGACGCCCACCTTATGAAGAGTTCCCTGAAAATGTGTCAGAGTTTGTGAAAGTGTTATCGGAAAGGTTGGATGATATTCACCATCAATTGCGTTCAAACGTTTGTTGATTCCATGAAGATATGTTATGATAAGAGATCTACTGAAGTCAGCTTTGAACCAGGAGACAAGGTGTGGTTGTATAATCCCAGAAAGACCAAATGGAAGTCTCCTAAGTTGTCTTCTCCATGGGAAGGCCCATATGACATAGTGGATCATCTTTCAGACGTGACTTTCCGAATAAAATGTGATCGGCAAGGTAAGCCAAAGGTGGTGCATGTTAACAGGCTTTGGCATTATAACTACCGAGTTCAGCTCAGTCCATACTAAAATATAACTTCTAGAAAATTAATCAAATGTATCCTGCCTTTGTATAGATGAAATATTCTCCATGAAAATAAGTAGCAAGAAGTGTTTTACCAATTTTATCTAGAGCAGCAATACAACATTACATTTTTTAACAACACAACATGTCATCTTTGTAGAAGATAAAAATCAGTCATATTTTTAAATTATTAACATAAATCTGCTCATTCCATCTTTTTATCATTACTTAATAATATATTGGATATCATGTAATGTCACAAAAAAAAAAGAAAAACTTAAATCATGTTTAAGATCTTTTCATTTAACTGGTTAATAATGAGACAACAACAGATATATGAAATCAGTATTCAGGATTACATATCTTATAATTGCAAATATTTTAAGTTTCCAATACTACAGTTACACAAATACAAAAGTTCTTAGAAGTTGAAATTATAAAAACTTGATTAGTATTTCTAACTGTATGCACAATGACCAGAATCAGGATAACATAATCTGAAAAATCTTGAAACAACATACTGGTACTGCTGTTATAAAACAATTTAATAAACAATTGTCCCATTACTCTATGTTTCTATTAGGTAGTCTGTTTTTCCTTTCAGTATAGGCACAGTTTTTATCATAACCTGCATCACAAACTTTCCAGCTGTAAAATTACTTATGTGTAGATTGAATACAGATACTTTTGTACATTTCTTAATTTTGAAAGAAAAAGTTCAACACACAATATGAACTAAAATTGACAGTTAAAGTTCTAAATTCAACTTTACACAATTGAACAGTTACATCTAGAGGTAACTAAGTAAATTACAGATGTAAAAACCTTAACTACAATACCAAAATCACAAAACATTTTAACACTTTGAATGTGCTTTTAGTAATTCAAAGGAATATTTTAAGCATTTTTATTTCCTTTAATTATGAAAGTTTTATTTCCTACAGAAAAGATTTCGTAGAAGACACTTTTAACATAACTAAAACTCACAGAACTTTTAAAATTAACTTAATGGTATGAAAAAAATATCGCATATTCATTTCTGAATTCAGTTGTATAAATGCTGCTTGATTCCAATATTTCATAATTATGAACAACCATAAACTCCATAAGGTTATAATTTATAGGTTGAAGTTTCATGACCTACGTAAAGAATATCCATAAAATAATTACCTCTGAAAAGTTTGGTTTGTCATAATAAGTCGGTAAACATGTATCTATAAAAATTCTATATAAAGATAAATATTTCTAAATGAAGAACAAACCAAATTAAGTATTCCTAACCATGCTTGTTACAAAGTTAAAAGATTAAAAACAATTTAGTAGATGAGTTTGTAACTTATGCTTATTATTTTAGTATGTGAAATAGTAGTGGAAAGTAGGATTTATTAATAAGAAACACCTTCTGTTGGGTCCTATCTTTCCTATTTAAAAACCTTGACTTTTAGTTCCTTATAAGGATATGTGAAGAAGATAGAATTTATTAAAAATTAAAACCTTCTGATGGTGATATAAAATTGCTCATTTATTCTTTAAGAGATTTTCTTCTACTTTCTTAAAATATGTTTGAAGTCAACTTTATTTAATGATGAAATCTTAATGTCAGGATATAAGTAAATTCATAAGGTTATAATTGTACAATATTCTCGTTATTAATAACAAACTGTCCTTCATTCTTGTTGTAGATTTTCTGTCAGAACAAAGATAAAGATCTCTTCGGAAGGAAAAGGGTGACAATTTTTAATTGATGTTTCATTCTCACCTCACTAAGACAGTCATAGTTTCTCCAGATATTTATCCCTACTTTGCTAAATTTGTTCATTTTAATACTCAATCCATTAATTGATTCATTTTTCTTGTATGAGAAACTACCCATTCTTTAGGTTTTTTAATTCAAAAACTCAGATATTCATTACTCTTCTACTTAATCGAAACTTTTAGGTTATTTGTTTTTAGTAACCTACTATACAACTCTACTTGAGACGTGAGTCAAATACTTATAATACTTCTGAAAATGGTTACGTTGGGCTGACTATTCTACTTGTACCTGATGATGACAAATGTTACTTATTGAAACATTGTATATTTATAGTAAAGTTTCCTTCACTACACCCACTCAAGACATCTCCAAACTGTATTTTCAAAACATGGGTTCCTTGTCATCAAATCATAAGATTCATTACTTGTACCTGATGATGACAAAACCTTGTCGAAATGTTGTACATTTGCTGTTGTATTAAATTTTTCTTCATTACCCACTCAAGCCGTCTCCAGCCATTATTCATCACCAGTATCTCTTTCTTGGTGTTTTTTTTAATTAACTATTTAATCTAGGCCAATGGTTACCAGCCTGGGATCCCCGGGCCTCTGGGGGTCCGCGTAGGTAATACCATCTCATTAAACAAGTAAGTTTTTTAATACTGATGTTTTTTTAATTGCACACTCAGTTATATATGTCTTTTATTTTATAGTGAAAAGTGGGAGAACGAGTTAATTATTAGTTAATAAAAACAGTTTGTTGGGTAGGAGGAATCTTTCAAAAACATGGGGTCCGTGTGGAAAAAAATTATAATAAAAGGGGTCCTTGGTGGAGCAAAGGCTGGGAACCACTGATCTAAGCTGTATTCTACAAGCTATATAACTGTAAGGGTTTGTCTACTATGATCATACCTGAGATAGGGATTTTATCATTTGAGGATAAGTTGAGATCTATGAATATGTTTCCTCTTGAAAAAAAAAAGAATTAGAAATGATCTGAGTGAGGAGTTTAAGATAGTTATGGGAAATTAAAAGTTATGATGCATCATATTTTATCATATTCAATGGTGAGAATACTAAGACAGCTTTATTTCTCTAAACGGGTGGTTAGGTTTGGGACAGATTGCCTTTATTTGTTGTGAAATCAGTTAATTTAAGTGAATTTACAGGAAAGTTTGATAAATATTTTAATGAGAAGGACTGGCTTTGAGTTTTTTTTTTCTAGAGTTTAGTTTAATTTAGTGAATAGGACAGCCAAGGTGGACCAAAAGGTCACTTGTCATTTAATGTTATATGTTAAAAAGCTACACAATAGGAGATCTGTTCTGTGTTAACCACTAATAACAAAACCCAATTTTTGGTATTCTAAACCCTAAGACTTAATTTTCTTACTTTTCTCACAAGTGTGTACTCTCTAATGTATTTTTAGCTACAGTTTCTTAAAAAAATTGTTTTCCACAAAATTTACAACTATGGTTTCTTCTCAGTATGTATTTTACAATGTTCTTTTAAGGCACAACTTCTTGCAAAGTGTTTTCCACACACTGTACAGCTATAACTGTAAGGTTACTCCCCAGTATGTGTTATTAGATGTTGTTTTAATTCACTCTTTGATCCAAAGTGTTTTCCACAAACTGCACATCTGTAAGGTCTCTCCCCAGTATGTATTCTTTGGTGTGATTTTAAGTAATTATTTCTTCCAAAGCATTTTCCACACACTGAACAACTATAAGGTTTCTCCACACTATGTACCTTTTGATGTATTTTCAGTGTACTGCGTGTTCTGAATTGTTTTTCACAAACTGTACAATTGTAAGGTTTCTCTCCGGTGTGTGTTCTTAGATGTTGTTTTAATTCACCCTTTGATCCAAAGTGTTTTCTACAAATTCCACAACTGAATGGTTTCTCCCCAGTGTGTGTTCTTTGGTGCTGTTTTAAGTTACTACTTACTATAAAATGTTTTCCACATGTTGTACAACTGTAAGGTTTCTCCCCAGTGTGTATTCTTTGATGTTGTTTTAATTTACTATTTTCTACAAAATGTTTTCCACACACTTTACAACTGTAAGGTTTCTCACTGGTGTGTATTCTTTGATGCTTTTTTAAGGTACTTTAAGAAGTTTTACCTTAAAAGAGCATCATAAAATACATACTGGGGAGAAACCTTACAGTTGTACAGTGTGTGGAAAACATTTTGTAGGAAGTAAAGTGTTTTCCACACACTGTACAACTGTAAGGTTTCTCACCAGTGTGTGTTCTTTGGTGTTTTTTTAAAGTATCATTTGTTCTAAACCGTTTTTCACAAATTGTACAACTGTAAGGTTTCTCCCCAGTGTGTATTATTTGGTGAGATTTTAAGTAATTTCTTCTACCAAATTGTTTTCCACACACTGAACAACTGTAAGGTTTCTCCCCAGTGTGTCTTCTTTGATGTATTTTTAGATCACTGTTTGTTCCAAACTGTTTTCCACACATTGTACAACTGTAAGGTTTCTCACCAGTATGTGTTCTTTGGTGTTTTCTTAAAGTATCAATTGTTCCAAACAATTTTTCACAAACTGTACAACAGTGTAGTTTCTGCCCAGTGTGTATTCTTTGGTGTGATTTTAAGTTATTCTTTCTAACGAAGTGTTTTCCACACACTGAACAACTGTATGGTTTCTCTCCACTGTGTACTTTTTGATGGCTTTTTAAGTTACCTTTTATTCGAAATTGTTTTTCACAAACTTTACAACTGTAAGGTTTCTCCCCAGGATCTCTTCTTTCATGTTGTTCTAAGGAAGTATTTCTCTCAAAGTGTTTTTCATAAACTGCACAATGATATTGTTTCTCTCCAAACTGTATCCTTCTTTGTTGTGTTAGGGTATCCACTGTTCCAAATTCTTTTCCAGTGATTACACAACTGTATACTTTACCATTACATTTAGGTATATTAAATACTTTTTGGTTATTTCCATTTAAAGTTGTTTCTCCACATATACCACAGTTTGGTTTGGGGGATTTTATAGCTTCAGGAAAGTGATCTTCATGTTTTATAACATGATTACCAGGACACATGTTCACACTGGTCTTCATATCTAAAATAGACATAAATAATGCTACACCACAGTTAATAATAAATCTGATGAACTTCTAAATATATTTAGTGTTCTAATATGATCAATACAAATACCAATATGAAAATATTAAAGCTAAAACTAATTATGATGCAGTTTTCATAGTTTAACACTTCAAAAAGATCTTTCTACCTGAAAACGAACTGTAGGTAAATTCCATGTTCAACAGACTTTTTGTATACAAAATCTAAAATCACCTGTGGAAATATGATAGTACAATGTCACAACAACCAATGCAGTTACAGCTAGTATCTTTCTGGATTATATTTTAGAGATATTTTCAAATTTTAATTGGTTGTTAACCACCATATGTTCAAATGATTTGTCTGCTTAAGAATGTTAATTAACATTAATACTTTATACATTTTGTTCAAAAGTTCTTTATGCAAGTTATAAATAAACGTTTAAAAATCCCAAGATTTACACAAAACTAAAATGTTTATCAATATATTATTTATTATTTTATCAAGTTCAGGTATCATCCCTCTGATTAAAAGTCTGTTTGATTATTGTCTTCAGCATTTTAAATTAAAAGATTGAAGATTTGCTATTATTCAAGTCTTTGCTTCTACACTATAGAAATAAATGATAACAATACATTCTCTGTACATATTTAAACATTAATCTACTGAAACAGGTTCCAACCATTAATCAGAATGTTTATAGATGAAGAATAAGGATAAACACTAGTCAGTTAGAAAGTTTTTCTGTTTCATGTACAAACAATTACTGTTCTCCTTATTCATTTTCAGACAAGCATAATCTTAAAATTGTTTTTAAATGTTTTGTTGTCATTTTACAGCTTTCAAAAAGTTCCCAAATTGAAGTAAAAAAGAAAAAGAAGCACCAAACTTAGATCTATACACTTCAAATTAAACCAGTCTCATATGATTCAATAACTTTTAAAATATACTAAGAATTTAACTAATTCTTTTTAACCCAGTGTCAATGCACTTAAGAGTTTTAGATGTTTGTACTCACCAGATGTAGTTTCTAACACCGATTCAATTTCTTCCTGAAATTCTATTTTTGTTTTCACATCCATGTCATTATAGTTTAAATTATTCAGATCATCATCATTGCTGTCACTGAACTTTGAAATAATATCACCTTCTAACAGATCATCAGGATGCTCTGTTTTCTCTTGGACAAATATGTTCTAAAATCAAACAATATATTTAAAAAGTTAATAAAAATAACAGACAGTGTTACCATTACACATAGTATCCATATTTACTAGTTTAAAACATGATAACATAATTAATAAACCTAATGCTTCAAATTTAGTTATGTATGTAAACAATACTAAAATATTTTTATTACCAGTTAGAGCTTTCACAGTAAGTGAGATTTGTTTTTAAAACAGGTATGACGTGTGATCATTCTCAAGTACTCAAGTTTTAATGGTAAAGAATGTTTTAGTATTTAAATCAACATTCAAAAATATAACAAAATAGATTGTTACATTTGGTTCTGTCAGTTTAGATCTAAATGTTAAGTGGCTAATTGGTTTGGTATTTTTATTATTTTTTTCCTCTCTTTATGATGTTTTTTTTGCCATTTTCTTCAGGATGTCTGAAAAGCTCAGCACACAAAAAAGTTGTCCTGAAATGTATCAAGAACATGGAGAATGTACAAGATTAGTGATTAAAGTGTAAATTAAAATCAACAGTGTAAGATCAATACACTAGAGCCTCTAAGTAGACCAGAGAGAGGTTAAAATTAGAGGCACATAAAACCATTGAGTAGTGTAAGTAACTGCAGATGAATGTGTGTGATGTAATTCACATATTATTCTATAATATCTCTTGTCAGTATTGAAAGGAAGCAAGAGAAGATGTGACATGCCTGATCTGATGGGAGATTATGTTACAAAGCATCTGTTCAGACTTAATCACATATGGATCCCTAGTTAAAGTTACCACTTGTCCAGAAATTCTTGGAGCCAAGCCCCACAGACCCTGAAGGTATACAATAATCACTGAGGCCGCTGGGGATCCAACCAACCAGTGGAATTCTTGTATATACACAGAATTTATTCTAGGTACCAATGTACCGAGGAGTTTATGTCAGGGGTTGGGACTCAATAGGGGGTGGAACTATGACCCCCTGTAGAAGCCAATAAAATTCTAGACTCCAACGACAACAGAGATGAATGTAGAAGCTGACAACTAAACCAATATGCATGCTAACAAGGGATTATGCTTATCATCAGTGAATTTGATGATCCTGAGTCTTCCAACAAAATGAAGTGAAAGGAAAACAAAATGTTAGATTTCAGAGTTAGAAGCCTGTAGACTTACCCTATCCCATCAGGGCACATTGATTTTTTTCAGGTTAACTACAAACTCTACCTTAGTACCCAAATATTCAAGGAGCAGAAGTATTATTTGAGAGTCTGAAAATGCTTCCACTTGGCAGTAGTAGGCTAAATCATGAAGTTCCGACAACATGTCTGACAGGACATAACTGTCCCTTCACGAGAAGAACTGAGAAGAAAACCTTCCAGAATGAACCACAATATCTGTGGATGGAGAGAAAAACTAAAAATTTGCTCCAAGACCTTTCAGTCATCAAGTAAGGAGCAGGCTCAAAAGCAACTAGGAAAAAGCTCAAAACATCATCCTCATGAAGAACCAACAGAAGAAAACGAATCAAAGGCAGCTTATCCAACAGTGGCCTCCTTTTTGCTTCTTATTTATAGGTCATTTAAAGACTGTTGATTACCATTGATTGGAACAACACTTTTGTGAGGTAAGTTTGTTTTGTTAGAGCAAAGCACTGTTGGGCCATCCACTGCATCCACCCTAGGAAACTGAACCCTAGATACCAGTGTTACGAGTCCGCAAACTCACAACTATCCCACAGAGAGACTGAAAAGCCACCAGAATGAAAGAAGGTGCAGGAAAAAAATCTAAATTCTCTCTCTTCAAAATATCAAAGATCACCCTCAATTTCAGCCTCAGAGCCATTCAGAGGACCACCACAGATCTGAATATATATCTCCGTCTCACTAAGAATAAAATCATTGATAGTCTCAACCAAGAGTGACCCCCCCCTCCCCAAATTGTTGTTCAATGCTAGATATCAGGGGTGGGATAGGAGAGATCTTACGTGCCTCTATGCCAGAAATAATAATCCGTGAATTGATACTGTAAATCGGCTTGACAATCAAAACAATTTTTTATTATAATTTATTATTACGCAACTTAACTAGATAACATGGATAATGTTTATAGTATCTCTGAACAATCGTAATACTGGGAAACCAGTTAGTGGCGCTTTGTAGGAAAAAGTGATAACATTATCTGAATGATTTGCTTATATACAGCCTCAGGATAGAGGGTGCATTGACATAGGTGGAGAGAGTCACAAGATAAATATCGCTAAGAGCAGTTGAGTGGGGTATAAAAGACTGGAGCAAGTGAGAAGAAATCACACCAATGCTTAGATGGGCAAAGTAAGAAACCTGGCAGTTGAGTAATAGCTATAAATGGGATAGGAGGTAAGTATGTTTTGGAAGGAATATTGCCCATGTAGGTTGTATCACCCTCCTAATTTTGGATGGATACAGCATTATGATGATTATGTCACAGGTCAGTGCAATATATATGTGTAAAGATGGGAGTTTGTTCATGTGTGAGAGGTTAACTCATAGTGGTGCAGAGAGGTAAGTAACATTTCTGAAATTATATCTAATTGATAAATGGTTCTTAAGCTTAGCCTTTATAAGAAATAAAATGTGACTTTAAAAAATAATATAAGCCTAGTTTTCCAATAAGTACAAAATAACAAATAAAGAATTTTAGGCTACCCATTGTGCACCTCCAACTTTCTGTGCTTCAAAGATAATCAATAAAGATTTCACTTTAAATAGAATAAATATGCACATTAATAGTGGTACTGGCTAATGGATTCATCAATGAAACAATTAACTGATTACATGTGATTAACTAATCAGCACACATTTTCTACAATTAACACTGGCAAAAAACAACAACATAGTATTAATTTTTCTCCTTCTATTCCCATTTTTACTGGAATTTTCCATATCCCCTTGATTTATATGACTACATACCATCACACAGTCACCATTATGGTTGTTTTTCAACTATGCAATAATCCCACAATGACCTTCTGTAAATCAAATAAACCAATAATTAAATAATGAAAACATGTTTTGCTATCACTGATAATAGTAACAATGTTTTTATTTAAAAAAGTGTCATGATTGAAGTTGGAAACAATTAGGTGGCCAGTTTATTTAAGTTTTTGGAACAGACAAAACATAAATACGAAAGCTATAATTTTTCTATATTGAAAACATATTTCTGATAGGAGAAACCAGATCTCCTCGCCAAGAACTGGACAAAAGCCAGTTGTGAAGACGGAGGATGTGAACAGCAGGGTGTAGAACCAGCGACTGAGGCAGACATAGGAGGTTGGAAAATAAGGGAAATGGGACAGGAGGAATAATTGAAGTTGGTGCAAATGAAGGAGCCACAGTTGAGCCAGCCAGTAGGGAGTGATCAGAAGGACCCGACATGGAGTAAGATGGATTAGGGAAAACACCTGATGAAGTAATCAGATGGAAGGATAAACATATAGGAATTTGTGTGACCACTCTTGGCTTAGGGCATCGATAGCCGAAGCCCAAGGATAAGGTACTGGGTACCAAAAGAGGGATAAATTGTGATTCAGAGTGATAGCCAAAGCCTGAGGATAAGGTACTGGGTACCAAAAGAGGGGTAAATTGTGATTCAGGGTAGTAGCAAATGCATCGATTTTGAGGAAAACCCCACTGATGGCAAAACCACTGGAAAACTTGAGGATGGAGGGACCACTCTGTCAAATAAATCTTGTCAGGGTGGGAAAGATGATTCGTTATAAGATTGAAAGCACTGGGAACATGACACACAATTAAATGAATGTGGTGAGTGTGGGCCTAGTAAAAAAAAGAGAGAGATCTCAACCAGGTGAATAATCACCAGACAATGGCAGGTGAGAGGATCAAAGTGATCCAAAGCCTGACAGATGGTTAGAAGCTCTAGGACATTGATATGAAATGACTATTTGTCTACTGACCAATGTCCTGAAGTCTCCTGGTGATTAACCCATGCATCCCAGCCCTGAAGAGATACATCTGTAAAGAGGTGTAAATCCGAACGTGTAGGAGGAAGCAGGACTCCTGCCAACATGAGAGCCTTGTCCAACCACCAAATCAGATCGTCTGTGAGGGAAAAAGAAAGGGTAATAGGAGCATCCAAGGGATCCCGAGCAAGGTTCCATTGATTGTGCAAAGTCCACTGGAAGGAACGTATGTGCGCATGACCTAGGGAAACCAGAGAAGTCATTGAAGACCACATCCCCAAAACCTCATGTGCAGAAATTGAGGGAGCAGACAGGATATGACAAACTGACAATTCCATGGAAAGTAGTCAGAGAGAAGAAGGCTGGGTCCGACTGAGGTGAGTGTTGAAAAAGACACCCAAATGGACAAGGTACTGGGTAGAACGTAAGTAAGGCTTCTCCAATTTGAACAACCAGCCCACCCAAGCAACCACTTGAAGGAACTGACAAGTATGACTGGCTGACTCCCATTTGGAATGTGCTAGAAGAAACCAGTCATCAATGTAATAATGGAAACATAGCCCCAGGGCATAAAGATGAAAGGCAAAAGCCCTCTCTACCCAACAGTAAACTTAAGGTAGCAAAGTGAGCCCAAAGGGTAGGGCATGAAACTGGTACACCATCCTGTGATGGACGAACCAAAGATATGGACAAGACCGTGCTGCTATAGGAATATACAAGTAAGCATTGGTGACTCCATCTTGGTCATCCATAAACCCTGAAAAAATGCCCACTGGAGGGTGAAATAGGACTCCATGATGAAATGGGTGAGGTGAACAAAGTGACAGAGGTGGGTCATGTAATCATGTTGCAAACCTCCCTGCCTGCACAGCAATATCAGGAGAAGGAGGAAAAACAAAGAAATCCCCTTAAGAAGAATTAGACAACAAAGCAGGGGTAGATTCAAAAGCAACTGGTTGCATCTCAAAACTTCACAAACACGTGTAACTAACTGTAGAAAAAGGAGCAGAAGGTGGCTGATCAGATGAGTCCTCAGGAGAGGAAGTCTAGTGAAAGAAGGAGCAGGAAACAGAGAGTCTAAATTCACCCCAGAATATCCGTTTCAGAATAGAAAATCAAATCAGCACCTCCAGGAGAGATACCCC